TGAGAGAGAATCATTGATCAGCTGCCTCTTGCACACCCCCTACTGGGGATGTGCCCACAACCAAGGTACATGCCCTTGACTGGAATCAGACCTGGGACCCTTCAGTCCGCAGACCGACGCTCTACCCCTGAGCCAAACCGATTTCGGCTGGACCTCTAGTTTTAAAATAAAAGACGTAGGGTGGCTGAATGGATAACAAAACAAGATTCTTCCTTACATATGCTGTCTACAAGAGATTCACTTCAGATAAAAAGATACACACAGACTGAAAGTAAAGAGATGGAAAAATATATTTCATGAAAATAAAAACAAAAACAAAAAGCTGGGGAAGTAGTACTTACATAAGATAAAATAGACTTTAACACAAAGGTTGTATAACAAGAGACAAAAAAGGACCCAGCAATTCCACTCCTGGTAATTATTTGAAGAAACCTAAGACACTAAATTAAAAAGACATATGCAGCCCTGATGGGTGCACTCAGTGGTAAGATCATTGACCCCACATACTGAAGAGTCCTGGGTTCAATTATCGGTCAAGGGCATGAACCTGGATTGCAGGTTTGATCCCTGGCCAGGTCAGAGTGCATGGGAAAGGTGATTTCTCTTCCTTTCTCCCTCTTTTTCATTCTCTCAATGGTGGAGGGAAATATTCTCGGGTGAATAATAACAACAACAACAAAAGACATATGCATCCATATGTTCATTGCCGTATTAATTACAATACCAAGATATGGAAGCAACTTAATTGCCCATCAATAGAACAGATGAATGGATAAAGAATAAATGGTACATATATATAATGAAATATGATTCAACTGCACAAAAGAATAAAATCTTGCATCTGCAACAACATGGATGGACCTAGTGGGTATTTGCTGAGTGAAATAAGTTAGATGTAGCCGGGACCGGTTTGGCTCAATGGATAGAGCGTCAGCTTGGGGACTGAAGGGTCCCGGGTTCGATTCCGGTCAAGGGCATGTACCTTGGTTGCGGGCATATCCCCGGTGGGGGGTGTGCAAGAGGCAGCTGATCGATGACTCTCTCACTGATGTTTCTAACTCTCTGTCTCTCTCCCTTCTTCTCTGTGTAAAATCAATATATTAAAAAAAATAATAAGTTAGATGTATTAGTCAGGTAGGAGAAAGACAAATAATACATGATTTCATTTAAATATGCATTCTAAAAAAATAAGCAAAAAATAAGCAGATTTCAGAAATACAGAGAGCATTTTGACAGTAGTCAGATGGGAGGGAGGTTAGGGAAATGGATGAAAAAGCTGAAAGTATTAAGAAGTACAAATTGGTAGTTACAGAATAGTCATGGGGATGTAAAGGACAGCATAAAGAATATAGACAATAAAATTGCAATTGTGTATGATGTCAGATGGGTCCTAGATTTATCAGAGTGATCATTTTGTAAGTTATATAGGTATCTAATCACTGGGTTATACACCTGAAAGTAATATAATATAGTAAGTATATCAGCTGTAATTTAAAAAGAAAGTTATTTTAAAGTAAATAAAATCTAATATTGAATTTTAAAAATATTATCCTCAGAGAGAAAAGATATTGCATTTTTTAAATTAAAAAAATATAGCAAAAATTTTTTCTTCTATAAAAGGATATATGAAACCTTCCAGAAAGTTAAAAAAAAAAAAATGACAAATGAGTTGGGGGGTGACTCAAAGGGAGAAAGATAGAAACATCGATCAGCTGCCTCCTGCACGCCTCCTACTGGGGATGAGCCTGCAAGCTAGGTACATGCCCTTGACTGGAATCGAACCTAGGACCTTTCAGTCCACAGGCCATCGCTCTATCCACTGGGCCAAACCGGTCAGGGTGAGCCTCAGCTTTATGTATAAGATTTTAATATTTTGCAAGGAGGATGCAGTCACATTACTTTTGTAATTAGGAAATTGAGCATGTAGCAATCTCTGAAAAGCCTCTGGCATACCGCAGATCCCTGGTAGTCTCTCTCCTCTCCAGGAACCCAGGGCTTGGCAGGCAGCTCAAAGCCTTCCTGGCCTCAGCCAGAGGTCACAGTTTGAGCAGCTGATTGGATGGGATGGTGTGGTGCTGGCCCCTGGATCTGAATTCCAAGCAGCATTCCCAAGGGCGTGCTGCTTTTGTCTCTAACTAGAAGGACTTGATTTACAGGCTGTGTTGAGGGACACACAAAATCTCTGAAATTCATGACTATTTTGGCCTGGTTTGACTCATGTGGATGGAGCAAGTTCATTATGTGGAAATGACCCAGCCCCCTTTCGTCCCAACGTATCAGCCAGATATGTTAGGAGAGGGAGAAAAAAACAAACAAACTAGAAATGAAAAACCTTTACTAAGCGTCAACTACATCTGAATCGCCAGAGGTGCGAGTTAGAGGGGTACTTGGGCCCCTCCTGCAGCCTTTGAATAAACTTGGCAGTGGGCCTGAGATTCAGTTGACAAGCCCTGCAGGTAAATGTAGAAGCCAGACCTCAGTTACACAAATACATTACCTTACTCTCCTTTAGTTCAACTTACCCTTACGGGGTCTCCATTCTACCTGCTTGAGGAAAACACTCCTTCATTTCCAGTTGAGGTGCGTCATCCCACCCCTCCCCTTCTCCTGCCTCCACTATTGATCTAAATTTGGGGAGTTCCTTAACACAGCAGAGATAAATTCTCCCAGTCCCTGACTCCATGGACCACACATGCTCTCATTTCTGCTCCGCTGCTGCCGGGTCCGGTAGCAATAGCACGGCCAGCTCTCCACGCCGCACCCCGCAGCAGCCCTGCCGCATGAGATTTCTCTCAGGTTCTGTCCCTTCCACGTCCTAAACTCCGCCATAAGTGGAAATGGGATCACGCCCAAACCAGTGTCTGACATCTTGTCTGGTCCTCGGCTGGCTTCACAGCTAGTTCAGGGAGGGTGTTGGGGCAGAGCTGGGAGGGGAAACCTGCCTGTGTGCACCTCCTCCCAACTCCCCTGTCCACCCAGGCACTGTGGCGTTTGAACTTAAAAGCTTAGACTTTGGTGTTTTTGTTCTCTGGCTGGAGAGTGGAGTAGCCTCAGGACCAAAGAGCAAGAGCTAGCCCCCCACAGTGGGATCTGCCGCCATCACGGGAGCCACTCTTTTCTTCCTTTTCACATAGGCCGAGCCACTAGCCATTGTGCGTCCGCGCAAAGGATCAGGGAAGCGGCTGCTTCAGAGGAGGAGGGAGTGGAGAGCATTTTATCCCAGCTCTGCTGAGTCCCCACACCCGACACACAGGCTCCCTCCCTGCCCCGCTAGGAAAGGACACCTCTGGTGACACAGCCAGTCCCCGGGCTTCTGCTGGGAGGGGGAGGGTGTGCATGGGGGCGGTTCTCACACCTGGAGGCCCTGGGAAGCCAGAGGGGGCAGGAAGAAGCAGGCTCTTGTCTCAGAGGCCTAGGCCACCAGCTCCCCTTCTCTTCCAGGGTTACAATGACACCCCCCCAAAAAAAATAAGGCTCCCCTAAGATGGCCCCTTCATCTGGAAAGCTGCCTTCATCTCCTCCCCCGCAGAGGCAGTTCACCTGCTCCTATTCCCTCCGGGCTGAGGTGCCCGGCCTGCGGGGATGAGCTGGGTGGGCCCGTGCGGCTGCAGGGTCTGCTCCCAGGATCTACGGAGAGATCCGTCAGGGACGGAAGGGGCACGGATCACCTTCTCCACCACGTTCCAGATCGAGCCATTTAACAAAGACACATTTAGTGCTTACACAGCTAATGTATTTTGGGTGCGGAGACAGGGCTGGAACTGTCCAAGGTCAGACCTCTGAGACCAATCCGCACGTAAAGTAGTGCCCCTAACCCCGCGGGGTACAGCAGGCGCCCCCTTTGCCTATTATTGTTCTCTTTCCGCCAAAACAACAAAGCAAAGCAAAAATAAAAAAAGCAACACAAAAACAAAAACCTTGTTCCTTCTGGCCCAGCCCTGTGCTGAGGGAAAAAGGCCGAGCGCTCCTCTGGAGGCCAGAGCAGCTGCCAGAGCGAGGTCCCGCGCCTCTGCCCTCCTCCCGGGCGCTAGGCTCGCCCTCCCTCACGGGGCCTCGCCTGCCAAGGCCCCCCGGCTGGGCGCCAGGGTGAGCAGGGGCAACTGTCTCACTCCCGGCGCCTCGGCTGGGGGTGGGGGAAGAGCTGCCTCGTTCCTCTTCGAGACGCCCGCCTCCGCCGCAGCGGGTCCCGGCTGTCCGCATGGCCGGGCCTGCACTGGCCTTTCCCGCTTCCCGCCCCCAGCCCGGGCCCAGGGCTGCAGGCGGGTCGCAGGCGGTGGGCGCTGGGCACAGGCGAGGCCCGGAGCTGCGGGGGCGGCGGGGCGGGCTCCGGGCCGGCCGGGCGGGCGGGCGCGCGGGCGCGGGGCGGGCGGTGTGAGGTGCGGCCACGCCCCCCGCCGCCCGCCCCGCCCCCGCGCCCGCTCCGGGCCAGTCGCCGCTGCGCCCCGCCCCCGCCGCAGTGCCCGGATGTGGGTGACGCGCGGCCGCCATCTTCCCGTCCGCGGCAGCCAGCGCCAGTCGGAGCCAGCGCGAGCCGCCGCCGCCGCCGCCGCTGCCGCCGCCGCCGCCGCCGCCGCCGAATCCTGCGCCCGCTGCCCGCGCCATGTGAGTCGGCCGCCCTTGTCCTTTCCGGAGGCCCGAGCCGCCCGCCGCCCTGGCCTCGGCCCCCGGGTTCCACCCGCGCCCCTCGCGCTCCGCGCGCCCGGAGGCCAGGCCGGCGCCCGTGACTGCGCGCGGGCGGGCGGTGGCCGCCGGAGGGAGCGGACCCGGGGTCTGTCCGCCCGCCCCGCCGCCGCTGCCATCGCTGCCGCCCGACATTGCGGATCGCCCCTGGACCATGTCTGTGAGGTCGCCCGCGTTGGACAGGCGGGGAAACCGAGGCCCGGAGGGGGAAGGGGGCTCCACTCAAGGTCACGCAGCTGCTCGGCGGCGAGGCCGGACGGGATCCGGGGCTCGCATCGGGCGGCCTTCCTCCCGGGAAGGAAAAAGGGAGGGAGGGAGGGATGGACAGGCGGATGGGCGGAGCCCTGACTGCGGGGTCGGAGGATCCGGGCCCCGGGTCTCAATCCGTCTCCGCCCCTCAGGTCGGCTACCGCAGCCACCGCCCCCCCTGCCGCCCCGGCTGGGGAGGGGGGTCCCCCGGGGCCCCCTCCAAACCTCACCAGTAACAGAAGACTGCAGCAGACGCAGGCCCAGGTGGATGAGGTGAGTTGGGGTGGGGGATGCCAAGCGGTGGAAAGGAGGGACCCTGAGGGTTGGCAAACGAGTGTGGGGGATCCACTTGGGCTGGGGGCGATCACAGTTCATATTTATGAGTTTTGGAACAAAGATGCCATGCCCCATTCCTGTCAGCGTGCGCTAGGAGGGTTAGCCTTGCTATCCTGGGGTGTTTCAGCCAGGGGGCAGGCCACCTGAAACTCCATAAATAAAAGGTGCTGCTGTGACAGCTGAGATGTCTATCAGCATGCCCCTGATGTGTGCTCCTGGCGTGCCCCAGGTGTGTTAGGCATGTTCTGTGTGTGCCCTTGGCATGTTAAGCTGGAAACATCGGGGTGCATGTTCTTATATGTGAGCACATGGTCCAGGAGTGCCCTCATTGAGGGGGCCTTGGCACACCCCCTGCCTCGTGGGGCTCCCCTCCCAGGTGGTGGACATCATGAGGGTGAACGTGGACAAGGTCCTGGAGCGGGACCAGAAGCTGTCGGAGCTGGACGACCGTGCAGATGCACTCCAGGCGGGGGCCTCCCAGTTTGAAACAAGCGCAGCCAAGCTCAAGCGCAAATACTGGTGGAAAAACCTCAAGGTAAGGGTGGAGCCACTGGGACTGGAGGTGAATGGGGATTTCATGGTCTGTCTCACTGACCCCCCCCACCCCCTCTCGTCTGCAGATGATGATCATCTTGGGAGTGATTTGCGCCATCATCCTCATCATCATTATTGGTGAGTAGGACGGGAGTAGCTAGGGCCCTTTGATGAGATTTCCCCTATAAGTTCTGGGTTTTGAAGGTCATTAACCTAGTTTTTTACTATTTAACATAAAGCATATAAAGCTGCCAATGGCAGTTCCAATTCATCTAGAGCCCCAAACCTTGATGTTGTTTAGTCTGCACTTTTCCTGGTTGTGGGCAAATCTGTTGAGATTTTTGGAAACAGGAAAGCTGGTGGATTCCCACTGCTTTTGTGAGGACATTTAGGGCCTTAGACCCCCTGGGAACCCTGGATTTGGGGGGTAGGAGAGCAGGAAAGGCCCTTGGGCTTGAGACATGGCTAGGAAGCCAACCACCCAGTTGGTGAAGAGCTTGTGGTCTCAGGCCCAGAGCACTCCCAGTCTGTCCCAAGGCCATCCGGGGGTTTGAAGAGTCCTTGGAACCCACCCGTCCAGCCCCTTGCTTTACAGGGGGAGAACCTGAGTCCCAGAGGGGAAGGGATGTCAGCCAGCTGGGGAGTGGGTAGGGGGGAGCAGGGCCAGGCCTGACACACTGCTTTCTCTCCTCTCTTTCTCCCCTTACCCTCTTCCCTCTCTTCCTTCTCTATAGTTTACTTCAGCTCTTAAACCCCAGAGGAGCCAGCCCAGAGAAGGGCCTCTCCCCCCACCCATCCCCAGCCGCTCCTCCACCTCTCAGCCATATCTTCCAGCCCCCCCATCTGTGTGTGTGTCCGTGTGTGTGCCCTCCTGTAAATAGCCAGCTGTTATTTATACATATATAATATTATATATATTTGGTCTGTTTGTAGTTTTATTACTAGAAGATTTTTCCGGTTGTCCTTAACACCCCTTCCTGAGTTCCCATTGCCTTTCTCTTTCCCTCCTTCCCTCCCTCTTTTCCTGACCAGCCCTAAGTCCCTTCCATTTGCATCTGCTATGCAATAGTCCCTCTTCCTCTCCCTTCCTTGGATTCAGCTGATCCTTCCTTCCACCCTGGCCTTCCCCCTATCTTCACCGCCTACAAAACCAAACCAAAAGCGATTGTCCAGGCCTCCCTAGGTGCATCTTCTTTGCATTGTTCGGGAGGCTCTGAGACTGGCCCCACTTGGTCCTAAGAATCCCAAGGTCTGGGAGCTTCCAGCATGTTAATTAGCATTCATGTGCACATTGGCAACCCTTTTGGTTTCCTTTTTTGTTACATCACTCTGTTCATTCTTTCAACCTGTGTTTTTGTTTTGTTTGTTTGTTTTTTCACTGAGGAGTTAGTCCCTACTGGTCTTTGTATCACACTTTCATTTGCATGACATTAATTGTAGGTGTTGGGGAGCCTGGGCTTTTGGGAAGCCAGGCTGTTCTGGCCCCCAGAATCATCCCTTCCTAGCCCCTCTAGTCCAGTTTGCCTCTGCTCCCCCTATTTTCCAAACCTCTTGTCCCCACCTCTCCCTCCCCTGAGCTGGTGTGTAAGTGTTTTGGAGTTCAGTATGTTATGATGGACTGATATTTCTGCCACTTGAAGTTTCTCCCCACATTCTTGATCCCCAGTTTTCATGTGGGGCGCTTAACTGACATTCCCATGGGGTCTCCCTCCCTCCCGTCTGCCTGATCTTCCCCCTCCTCCTCCCACCAGGAGAGTTGGGGGTTGGCCACAATCTGGTCTGTTTTGGGAGAGGTGGCTGCCAGTGTCTGAAGGGTCATCACTGCCTTGGAGAGGAGTGGAGCAGGGCAGAGAATCTCCCTAATTCCTGCTGGAAGTCTCCTCTGGCCCCACCCCTGCTGGGGACTGGACTGAAAACCCTCCTCCCCAGTTTGGAGGGTGTTGCCTCCTTCACTGCCCAGCTCCTCTGACTGCCCCCCCTGAATTCAGGGCGGGGGGGTACTAGTCACTGCCAATGTGTGGGATTTGCTGGAAGATGAGGGTTCTTGCCCCTCTCCATGGTGGTCAAGCCCAGAGAGAGACCTGTCTTCTCCTTAGGCGAAGTGATAGGAAGGATCTAATGTCTTTTTAAATGGCACAATTTTGGGGGGGGTCTGAGGGTATATTCCCTTAAACTGTCACTGGAGGGGACCCCCCCCCTAAAACTCTTTCCCCCACACTCAAGGTTTCTGTGTGGATAGGGAGCAGGGAGATCTAAACTGTTGTGTGAAAGGGTAGGGAGAGATGCTGGGGGTGGGGATGCTGTGCTCTAGATCCCCCCAAACTATCCCAGTGTCCCCTGCCTCCCCCCTTCCCTCACTCCATGCCCCCAATTCTGTGGCGCATCCAGATTGTGAAAATGTACAATAAATGTGTAATGAGTAAGTGGTGTCTAAGATTTTTTTCTTCACCAGTAGGAAAGGTACTGGGTCTTCATGTAAACAGGAATGTTAATTATATACATTGGGGCCGGAACTGGTTTGGCTCAGTGGTAGAGCCTCGATCTGAGGACTGAAGGGTCCCGGGTTTGATTCCTGTCAAGGGCATGTACGTTGGCTGCGAGCACATCCCTGGGTAGGGGATGTGCAGGAGGCGGCTGGTCGATGTTTCTCTCTCATCGACTTTTCTGGCTATCTCCCTCCCTTCCTCTCTGTAAAAAATCAATAAAATATATTAAAAAAAAAAAAAAAAAGTATACATTGGGGCCTAACTCAGTTTGGCTCAGTGGATGAAGTGTTGGTCTGTGGACTCAAGGGTCCCAGGTTTGATTCCGGTCAAGGGCCTGTACCTTGGTTGCAGGCACATCCCCAGTAGGGGGTCTGCAAGAGTTAACTGGTCGATGATTCTCTCATCGATGTTTCTAACTATCTCTCTACCTCTCTGTAAAAAATCAATAAAATATATTAAAAACAAAACAAAACAAAAAAAACTATTGGAGGGCCTGACCTTGGGCAGGGCAAAGTGTGATTCCTAAAATGTCCATCAGGGGGCACCAAGCTTTAATGGGAAGTGTGATCCCCGTGTCCCATCCTGGTGAACCCTGAGGTCTGTTTCCCAGCTTTCCCTTCTCCCTTGCCTGAGGGTATGCTCTTGCCCTTTGTTGGATTTTTTTTTTTTTTTAACCCCTTGATTTAACTCTCAGATGCTGTGCAGTTGTCTTCTGTAGTTATTTCCTCCTAGGCCTGAAGTAAATGGCCAACTTATATGAAGTATCTCTTCCCTTTTGTGCCTCGCACAGTGCCAGCACCCAATAAATACTTTTGAATAAGGCCCTGGCCTGGTAGCTCAGTTGGTTCGAGTGTAGTCCCAATATAAGGTTGCGGGTTTGATTCCTGGTCAGGGCACATAACAAGAAGCAACCAATGAATGCATAAATAAGTGGAACGACAAATTGATCTCTCTCAACAAACAAATCAGCCTACGGAGACCCAGCTGAAGGTGGTGTGGAGCTGGCTAGAGATGGCTTATTGCCCCTGCACTCTGTTGTTCTACACTGGACTCTACTCCCTAATGTGGCACCCTAACAATCTTGTCCGCAAGTGCCTTAACAATGGGTGGAGAATGCTAGAAAAGCTTGTGGGGGCTGACTTCTCTGGGCTGCGGGCAACCTAGTGTTTCCCAAACTTGTTGGCTCCCAAGAACTACCAGGAGTGCTTTTTTAAAAATTTTTTATTTTTTTAAGAATGCTTTGGTTAGAGGGTTGGCCTGCACACCAAAGGTTCCTGGGTTTGATTCCCCAGGATGAGTAAGATCCCCCACCAATCTGTGTGTATCACATTGATGTTTCTCTCTCTCCTTCTGCCTTCCTCCCACTCTAGGTAAAGCAATGGAAAAAAAATACCCTCTGGTAAGGATTAGTAATAAATAAATAAATGATAGATTTTTTAAAAAATGCATATTTTTGATTTCAGAGTGGAAGAGAGAAATAGAAACATCCTGCACACCTACTGGGGATGGAGCCTGCAACCCAGGCATGTACCATTGACAGGAATCAAACCCAGGACCCTTCAGTGAATAGGCTGTTTCCAGTGAGCCAAACTAGTCAGGACAAATAATAGATTTTTGGGCCCCTTCTCTGGAGATTCTGATTCGGCAGTTCTAAGGGGCTACAGTGATTCTTATAATTAGGTACACGGTTATTTATTGAGGGTTTATTATATTCCAGTTAGTCTTCAGGGCTTTTTCCCATTTCATCTACTGAATATTTTTAAGTTTAGGGTTCCCATAGGTCCTAGGACCTGCCTTCTTTATAGTGCTAGGGACCTGGGTTCAAATTTTGGCCCCTTTGCTTACTGGTGTGCTAACCCGAGCAGGTTATGTAATCTTTCTGGATCTCCATCTCATTTGTGAAGCAGTTGGTAAGCCGGCCTGCTCTGGGTTTGTGAGAAGCACCTAGCCTAGTCCATAGGAAATCTAAGATCCTGCTATCATCACCACCCTCTTGCATGGAGCTGATCTAATACCCCTTCATCCTAGAGCTCACACCTTGCAGCTTTTGGGAGCTGGGCCAAGGCTGGGGGCGGGGCGGGACGCTCTTTTCACCCTGGCACCTCTCGCGGGGTCTCAGCACCAAGCGCCCGAATCTAAGCCACCGTCGCACACAACTGCGCCTGCGTGCAGGTCACACTCATTGCGCCTGCGCAGACTCTGCCTTGAGTAGTGAGTGTCAAGGAAAATCCCCAGCTTCTGGGTAAACAAGTTGCCGCGTGAGGCCGCCTGCACGTGTCCTCTACAGCTCCAAGGCCTCTCGGCCTATGAGAAAGTGTGGGGGCGGGGCTAGCATGTGCGTCACCAACCTAGGCTGGTTGCCACAGCCAATAGGAACTTCGGAAGTGGTTGTGGGAGCGGCTTTCTGTCAATCATTGCGTGCCGGGTGCGGCCCCGCCCAATGTGGATTTGTCACTGCGGATTGGTAAATTGACCAATGAGGAGATGATGGCGGCGGGCTGTGCCAATGGTGGCTGAGTGGAGGCCTGGCAAAGGCACGAGGCGTTGGGCATGGTTCCGCGCCCTTAGGCCAATAAGCTCGAGGGGCGTGGCATCCCAGCGGGTGGGCGGGCCTGGAGGAGCGAGTCCCCGTGTCTGTAGTCCTAGTTGGAA